TTAAGATCCTCCATAAAGCCTTTTCAGGCTTTAATCCTTTTTAGAAGAGAATGCTGGCAAAAATATACCTAAGCGGAACTGATGTTTCTCTTGTTAATTCCTTACAAAATACTTTCAACTTTTTGTCTATCTATGTGTGTGTCTCTCTGTATGTGTATGTGTATATGTATGTGTGTGTGTGTGTGTGTGATTTCTCTAAGAGTCCTGTGAAGCTGATGACTTCAACCCAGAATCAAATATTGTTCTCCAGGCAACTTGGGTGATGGCTGGCCTTCTAATCATGACAGCCATTCTGCTTTATGTTTGCAGGCTGAAAAAGTATGTGATGCTTATGTTTATAACTCTTTGTCAACTAGTGTTAACAATGCTCATTATTATGATTATGAAAACTAAACAATTGTAGAGATCATTTGGAAGCAAAGTTCTTTATAATGCTGGTATGTTGTACCTTCTTGAATCTTCCTTGGTACATGAAAATTCACTTTTAAACTGAATGCATTTTTCCACTAAAATACCCATTGTGGTGTGCATATTTTGGGCTGAGAACAGAGTTTGAAGGAAAACGTGTTTCAAGCCTTATTAGTCTAGGAACTGTGAATTAGGTCAGTTTGCTCTAAAATACAGATGAAATTAAGCTGGGCAGGCTCTCAAGTAGAGTAGTTTATATTTCTCAATAGGAGTGAACGCAATTCTGCATTTATATGGTGTGATTACAAGCTGTTCTGAACTCAGATCATGTCTCAAATTGGTGCTTGTTAATGATGAAATGCAATGAAGACTATCTATCTATCTATCTATCTATCTATCTATCTGTCTGTCTGTCTGTCTGTCTGTCTGTCATCCTCTATCACTACACCCCAACAGATAACTTCATTTCTGAAATTCTAATTCAAGACTTCCCTAAGTCTAGAAACTGAATCAAACTGGGGTGATCTATATCCTCACCAAGATTTGGTCAAATAACTATGATGAGATAACTTGATCAGAGATCATTGAAAGAGGAATTATTTTCAACACATAGCAAAGAGAAGAGGCCATATAGGTTGGAAAAGTGCCATCAGCAAGGAATGGGTGGGCTTCTAGAGAAAGTTCAAAGAAAGTCCTATAGTATTTGCAAACCAAGCAGAGACAGACTGTTTATAATTTAGGTATTGACAAAGGCAGGAAATTTATACAAAGCCTTGTAGCTAGTCAGTATTTGCGGTGACTTTCATTCATTCTTACTGGATAAAATTAAAACACTGTATTTACATTCATTATAAACACTTACTTGCTCAGTCTTCAGTGGTGCGTACTCTAAGGTTTCCAAAGAACTAAAACAGAAGTGAAAGGTAAGTTTGTTTTAAACATGAGTAGCATATAGAGAAGTTTTATTGCCATATTTTAAATTCAGATTAAAGCTTTTCCTTGAAGCTAAACTGAAGAATTGAAAATAGATAATCTATGTTTAGGTTATCAGTGGAATACTGTCCCTGCTATTTGTAATACTTTATCATGGTAAACATGTTGCAATTTTCTACAGTAGCATGCTTACTATGATGAAGTATTTCTAAAGGGATTCATTCATTTATAGAAATTCATTTATGTCCTGTTCAGTTTCAAATATGGATGCCACGGCTATGCTAACAGCATCAATTCAGAACTTATCAACCAAGTCTGTCCCAGACCTTTAAATTATTCAGTGAATGGCTAGATATTCCAAATCTCATTAAAATGACTAGCTTTAGACCTTGAATCTTCACTTTTTCATGTTTTCACTTTTCAGCTGAAAGTTGCATTTCCTTTTCTGCTTACTGCAAAATTGTAGAAATATATGCTTTTTTTTAAAAAAAAAAAAGGTCTGCAGGAGAGGGTAGAATAAATGTTCCTGCTTTAATGGTTGGAGAATTGTCATAAGAAGTCTATTTTTGAAATATATTACTTACTTTTTTCTAATCATTTTTCTTAAAAGATGTTTATCTTTTAAATGGTTACAGAATTAGAAAGACACTAATGCCTGCTATACCAGACCCTCAAAATAAATATTCTGATTTGTTCAGTGATCACAATGGAAACTTCCAGGTAAGGTATCATAGAATGTTGAATTCCTCTTCCTAATGTTTCATTTTTTTTCCTTTTCACAAGCCTATTTGAACATGTTGATTCACTGGATATTTCCATGCCATTTTGCACATATGTTGCAATAGCCCAGAGATTATTCATTTATACAACTCAATCAAAATTACCCTTAAGGGGTGGGGAAGATTGAGGATTAAAAGAGATCCTTAGTTTTATCATTCATTTCACCTAATGGTCATCCAACCTCTCATCCTAAGTAACTATTGGCAGTATTTGTAAGCAGTGTTATCAAGCTGTCCTGGCCAAGCAATTAACTTATTTTATGGTAGTGAATTAATTCATTACTTTTCCTATTTAACCCTTGACAGCCAGCACCACTGCATTCAGGAAGGGGCGTCACCAATATGCAAGAACACTGCTTCCCTTTGAATAACCCCATCAACTCATGTATTAAGAATTGGTGTAGATGTTACCCATCGTAGGGTCAACTATCTCTCTCACAAAGAAACGATTTATAAAAGCATGTAAAAAAATCCGGGACCAAAAGCATGGAAGTCATGGAAATGTGGTCCATTTCTTCTCATAAATTTCTTAATATGATGAAAAACAAAGAATTTATCGTCATCTGTGTTTTGTCATTTTCACAAAAACGACAAATTGAAGAAACCAAAATTTACCCATCCCTGATCTGTATACGCATTTCAGTACTATCAATCAGAATAAATGTCTGTATGCTCTGAAAGCCTATTTCTAACAGTGGTGAGCTTTTTTTTTTTTTGGCAACACTTATAACTTAAACCATAAATGCAACAGTTCTTTCCATTGTTTAATATGTCACTTTCCAAACTGGTGCTCAAAGTCCTATTACCTCTGAACAGGGAGATCTCATTAGTTTATCATAGCTAGCAGCCTGATTATTCTAAATGTTTTAGATTATAATTCCCATAATCTGCCCTCAAGTCCAATGATCACAATAGTTAGGAACTGTAGTCAAATACTAAGTAATCCAAGATTAGGGAAGGCTGTGCTATCTGAATATTCTGGGTAGGGACAGCACCTAATTGATCCTGACTGGTCTGAAAAAGCGAAGCTGAATCAGATCTGGTTAGTTCTTGGATGGGAGACTTCCTGAAAATGCCAGGGCTATAAGTTCAACCAAGAAGTCAAAAATACATCCTGGAAGAAGGCAAAGAAAGATAAATCCCTTCCATCTACCTAGACGTGGGCATGAAGTCACCAGAAATCAAACATGAGTTCCAAAGGAGACTTTACCTTTTATTACCAGCTGAACATGCCTGGAAAATACTGTTTAAGAAATCATGGTGATCGCTTGGTGATTTTTTTCTTTTTAAGGACTGGATTATTAAAACTGAGAATGTGCTGCCTGAAACACAGGTGGAATGTATAGAAAAAGAATGTGTAGTTGAAGAGGAAAAAGAGGAAGATCTCCCACAAGCTAAAGTGGAAGCAAAGGTAAGCTTTTTTGAAAACCAAAGCACCTGCTTACGGGCTTCCTTTGATTAACCACTGTGGGAACAGAATACAGGTCGAAACAGGCTTTGATGTGATCTAGCATGGATTTCCCTTTTTCTTACGAAAACTAAATTAGTTATAATGTTCAAGCTATCAGAACTGAGAGAAATACTTCAAACGGACAGTAAAGATTCATAGATTAAGAAAATATGCACACTATTGTCATTATCTCAGAACTTGCATCAACACCGTGCACATTTATGCAACTGCTAGATCTGATATTCTGCAGCAGAGCACGCACGTTACCCCAACATTGCCTCTGCTACCAATGGGCCTCTACCCGGCACTGTCACCACTACACTATTGAGACCCAACCACATGCATTCCCTCCTTTCTAGAAACATTTCGTTAGTTGAGAGTCATACAATTGCTCAGCTTCAGTAAGCATTAGCAACCACTGTATCTATAAAACAAATTGCCCAATAACGTCATATCTTCTGGGAACTATAAGATGGCAGCCCCCTGGTATGGATTGGAATTGTGAGGCTACAGGTAGTCCTTCTTTAGCGACCACAATTGGGAAGGGTAACTCAGTTGTTAAATGAAGTGGTCACTAAGTGAAGCTGCAACTGTTCTTATGATCTTACTTCAGCTTTCCTTTGCTTTGCAGACCTGCAAAGGTCATAAATGTGAGGGCTGGTCTCAAAGTTACTTTTTCATCACTGTCATAACTGTGAACAGTTGCTGTCTGAGGCAGTTGCTAAATGAGGACCACCTGTATTTGCATTTCCTCCTGATGCAATGCTCCTTCTGATTAGTTAAGGATTGGTAGCTCTAATGGAACTTAAATGGAGACAAATTGGTGATGAGTAGAAGTGGCCATCAGGGAATCGAGAGATTGTATTCATACCAGGATGCCACATCAGTCTGAAGGAGCCTTTTGCAAGTTCTGCATTAAGTTTTCCTTCGGAGGTGGTTGCTTGTGGATTGGTTGGACCACTTCAGTGGCCTTAGGTAACCCCCCAGAGTCCCCTGCACAGTTGTTGCCAAAAGATAGTGGAGTGACTGGTAGTGGAATTTGGCAGCTGTCATTGAGCTAAATTGTTTAACACTCTTTCAAACACTTTTGAGTACTAACTTTGAGTTTAGGCAGTTTTCAGGAGTTATTTAGTGTTTCTTTTTTTAAATTGTCCTGATCCTGTCTCCCCCCCCCCTTTTTTTACATTTTTTATCCCGCCTTTATTTATTTTTTTATAAATAACCCAAGGCGGCGAACATACCTAATACTCCTTTGTCCTCCTATTTTCCCCACAACAACAACCCTGTGAGGTGAGTTGGGCTATGAGAAAGTGAATGGCCCAAGGCCATCCAGCCGGCTTTTGTGCCTAAGGTGGGACTAGAACTCACAGTCTCCTGCTTTCTAGCCTGGGGCCTTCACCAATAGACCTTTTAGGCCTTCCATGTCTACTTTTTGGAGTAGAGTCATTCTAGCCTTCATACACACATGCACTCACATAGAGTTGCCCATACCTGTACTGTGATACCTTATGCTGCAATATGCTGGTTTGGAGACATAGCCATGGTTACTATATTAAACCCAAATAACATGTTAGTGGAGCAGAATGAACCCGGCTCCTCTACCACACAGGAGATTGCTAGTGTGAATGACGGAATCCCAATTTGTATAATTCGTTCAATAAAAAGGGAGATAGGGGAATTCTATGATGCAGATTTCCCAAATACAAAGGACAATCACATAAATACTGAAAAAGAAACTCTACCAGTTCTGGCCTATAGGGATAAATGAACCCATGCAACCAGAGATCTTAGTAAACCTTCCTTCTAAAACTGTAGGAGGCATCAATTAGTTTTGTTTAATTTAGTTTACTTTTATTAGTTTAAGGATAGATACTTTTCTCAAACTTAACTTTTTAATTCTGATGAGATAATCCTATGGGTTCAGAATATATTTAAGTAAGTTATACCAAGAGACTAACTTTATGGCCCTAAGCAAAACAAAATCATTCTGCAGAGATGCATCTATAATGTGAATTTTAAGCTCCTTTTTAACCATAATGATGTCTCTGGTAAAAATAGATCTCTGAAGACCCCATTTCTGGAGTAAACAAAATATTATTTGAAATAATATCTCTCTCTATATATACTAAATTCCTGTTTCAGATGCCCAGGTACCCTGAGACATTTTAGCCAATAAGTAAAATTATGCTGGCAAATTTTGAGAAGTGAAATGCATGGACTGTCTTCAAAAGCAAACAGAGAGTTGAAGTTTTTACAGGAGCACTGAATACAGCCTTTAGCATATTCTGTATATAATCAAATTAGTGAGTCACATCAAAATACTAAATCACTAACCAAACAGTATCTGGGCCTTATGCATGGACTACCAGATGTTCATTTTTTTTTGAAAAACAGTGAGTGTGTGATGTGTGGAAGAAGAATCTCACAATGAAGTCAAATATTGTAATGGGTGGCTGATGGGAAGTGCTTGTGCCATGTAGCGAAGAAACTTCTGCAGTTTCTTCACTACGGGAACTAACACGCAGAAACTTGTGTCGCTTCAGAAGCAGCTCTTAATCTATGTAGTCATTTAGTGTCTGTGCGGTTACTACCTCTACTCCAGTTTATTTAGACTGGGAGGGAAGTTGTTTTTCCTACGTAGTGCCATGACTCTGTAAAATTTGCAGGTTGTCATGTGACAGCACCTGATATCTCATCCTATGTTTGGGCTTTGAAAGACAAGGCACCTTCTTCCATCCACAGCTTTGGATTCATGCAGGGAAAATGTATCCTTTCACCATCTTAACTCCCAGGGGTTCTTAAATGCTGCAGAGAAAAGATGGCTTGGTGGCTCTGCAGCTCTGTTTTACAATTGCTCAGATTTTTTTTTCCCAGCAATGCATGGATAAAATTTTAGAACCTGTGTTGAAAATATAAATGGGTAAGCAAATGGGTTAGCGGCTTGTTTTGGCTTTTTATGGAGTGTAAGAGTGAGGGACTTTTTATAACTTCAGACCCTGTGGCCACTCAGGAGGTGGGGAGTTGACTGAATGCCATTTTTGGCCCTGTCATGTTAGCCACCTGCAGAAGCTACAGATAGCTTGTAAGGGATTTACGCATGCCCAATTTTTTTCAGGCTCATCTGTGAACATATTTGCAGATTGATTTTGAATAGCTTTGGAGAAATTGGAGGGTGGAAATGGTGAAAGTACAGAAGTGCTGTATTATCAGATTTCAGATCAGGCTTAGGTTAAATCTTGATTCTTCCAGAAACTCACTACTGCATTCAGGAACTAAATAACAGGGGAAACTTCTTAGTCTTTATCACAGCTAGATGTTTTACTGCATGTAAGAAGTCATATATATCATATGCAGAATCTGCCTACTCCAGAACATAGAAATCAAGCCCTATATACATGCCAGCCCCAGGTTTAAATCTTAAGACTTTTCAATGGAATTTTGGCAATTCTATTTCTAACCTTGAGATTGGGATATGCCCATTCAATGGTTTTGCCTAGCCTGAGCAATGCCAGTTCCTGCCTCACCAATTTCAGGCCTTATCCCTGTATTTGAGCACTCTCTTTGAATAACTGCATGAACTGAAGTTGTGATAAATCCAGACCATCAATTACTTCTTTTTTTTTAATATATTTTTCCTCCCCAGTGTTCTGGTGTTAAGAAACTGGAAGTGTAATTTGTATCATGGTGCCCAATACATGGTAGAATGTGTCTCACAATCACTGCCTGGAGCAACAAGAGAACGTGGACTCAACTGCAACCACTTCGGTTTTGTTCCTATAGTTTCCTCTGCATATACTGTTTGCCATTCCATTTTATGAATTTTATGCCTAGAAGATTCTGAATGTTAAATTATATGGCCAAATAGCCATAAGGATTGCAACTGTCATAAGCACAATTATAATTGCAGTTGTCATAAATGATATTTTTCTAATCATTTTATGTTTTCATCTTAACTGCTTTTAAATATTCATATGCTACATGTAATTTTATAAATACGACTCACAAACCAGAGGCGTTTAGGGGATTCCCTACTTTCCCCATGTATGCAGTTCCCCAGAAGTACTGTTATTTGTAAAAAAAATGCTCACTATGACTCACCTAGATTGTATGCACATTGCTTTGGAAGTTTAGCGGATGTCTTCTGGCTCTGGAAATACAAATAATAATTTAGAAAGTGACTTTAAACCAGTACAATTTGATGATGTATGTTTTTCATGTTCTCTTTTATAAATCCAGAATAAAGAAAATTATTCTAACAGAAATATACACTTTTCTTTCTTTCTTTTCTTAAAATATATTATTATGTTCTAATAAATCGTGTCTTTGTAATTATAACTTTTTTTCTGCTATAATTTGGAACTTGAATACTCTGTTAGTTCATGTGTACCTCAACTGCTTGGTCCTTAATATTACTGATACCAAAAAAGGCTAAAATGAAAGTTTACTGGACTTCTCCATCTGCTTTTGGGATTCTTTTTCATTGCCACGGGATCCATATAATTAAGCACATGCTTTGCCTCTGGAATGATGACAACAATCTCATTACTATTCCAGAACTTGTTGCACAAACCTGAACTGGGTGGCTGCAATCCAATCTCAGAAAGATAAGAAGAAATCTATTTTAAGGAAACTGAAAGAGCTGGTCTTCTCATCAGTGCAATATTTCCAGGCTAAATTGGTTGTTTTGATATCCTGTTCCTAATCAACTTCATTTCTCTATACTGTATATTTTGTGGAAGATCAATATGCCCTTGGTCTGTCTCCCGTAAAGAACAAGTTTTATGAGATTGAGTCTATATGTTAATGTACACCCTACTTCTAATTGATATCTTCATGGAGAAAAGCAAAGGTTTATTCTCCCCACCTCCCCACCCCAGTGATCACCAAATCTTATTACTGTAATCAAAGATCGAATGAAATTCAGAGAAGTAGATATTAAAATGTTTTATTGATGTAATTAAACCCAGATTCATGAATACAGAAAAAAAACCAAACCCTAAATATCACTGAATTTTAGGAATCTTGTCTCTAGTGAATATGTTCTGGAGTTTTTGCCTTTTGACTAGAATATTTCACTCTCGTTTCACATAATTAAATACAAATATATTCTTTTTATTTCCTTCTGTGTGCAATCCCACAATGGCTCATTAGCCAGTTGGAATTCTTTTTTTTTTTCCTGTTTCCCGCTAATATAAAAGTGCTTTGGTCTTGCAATGATCTCATTCATTATAAGGAGACTGGACTGTTGTAGGCTTCCCTCCTTTATTGCCTTTGGGAAGCATCAACTTTTTTGAAAATCAAGAATGAACTTTGGATCTTCCTTCATTTTGCTGTTTAGAAATGAGTAATGATGTCCAAGCTTCCCTTCTTATTAGTTGGGCATCTCCAATGCTTTGGGGCCAATGGTCAGGTTTGGAGTTTCGAAAGCATGTCCTCTGTGCTCTCTAGAATTTGGCTGCAACAGTGAATACAACCAGTTACAAACTCCCATTGATTAGAAGGCAAACTAGTGAGTTCTCTCAGTTGAGTCTTCTACATTCATCTTTTACTCCAACTTACCATTTGCCCTTTGTGTGTCTGTATAGGGAAGCAATTGGACCAAACAAAGCACTGGAGTGCAGCCATTTAAAAAAAAAAAAAAATTCTAAACGTATCTATGGTGCTTCATAACCAGCAACAACATTCCCATAGCTACAGAGAATGTTGGATGCTGGTGTTTTATTTTGCAGAATGGCAACTGCCCAATTTTCTAAAATTAAAATGTATTTTAAAAGTTAGGTGTACCTGGGAGCTCCTTTGACGGTAATGAAACATCCGTGGACACTATAGGCACTAGGTAGGATAAGAAGCTCAGTTCTTGGTTCTTCAAGAATGAAGG